ACTTTCTTACTTTCTCTTTGTTCTACACTTATTTTATAAAAGGACGTGCTTTTAATAATCACTCTTTTTGTTTTGATAAAGAAAGGTATTTCTTACGTTTGTTTTTTCACTTTTAAACTTGCTTTTTATTATATTCTTTATTCTTTTTTTATTCCTTTCACTTTATTAGCTATTCACTTGTCTTATACAAATTATTCTTATTATTTAATTGTTTTTCACTTATTTTAAGCTTATACGGCTATTTCTTATTTCTTATTTAAAACTATTCTTTTGTTTTAAGCGTGTTTAATCACGTATATTCGAAAGTGAACTGCTATTAAGAAGAGTAAGTCTTTCTTATAAATATACTTATATAAGAAAACTCCTTTCTCTTTCTTTTTAACATTTTCTCTCTTTATATAACTATAATTATAATAACACTACCACTACTCTCTCTTTACAATTATATAATATTATATTAATATTAACGACTTTAATTATCACTCAGTCAATTACTATTACTATTAGCTTTATTCCGCTATCTTATATTTAGCTCGTAAACCGTAGTTCACGAGTCAAATATACTTTTTAAGTTAGCCGCCGTTAAAAGAAAAGCCTTTATTCGTAATACACTCTTTAGCTTATTAATAAGCGAAAAGCAAGCCGCTTTAGCTCGATAATCGAGTTTCGAACTGAAGTTCGAAAGACGAGTTATTAAGACTTTCGATAAGTTTTTCTAAACTTACCGCTAAATAAACAACTTTAGTCAATTAGCTATACTTAAAGTAGCAACTTTCGACTTTAATAACAAATTAAGTAAAGAAGATGACTTGATCTTGCAATACGACTAGTTCTTGCGAGCCGAATGCGCAAGAAAGAATATAAACGCCGAAGACTTCTTTTCGGCTTACGACTAGTTTACTATTAAAGTTACCGCTATTTACTCTTTACGCAACAAGAACGCCGAAAGACATAAACGAATTAAGAAAGCTTTCGACGGCGCTCGAAGCTAACTATTATATAACGATTATCTTAAGGTTGTATGCACTTTAATCCGTAGCGCTCGCTAATTAAGCGTCATCTTAAAGACTTGTACTTTTAACGCTTACGCTATTTAAATTATTAATTACTATATTATTGCTTACGTCGCTTTTTAAAAGATTATAGCTAATATAGCTCGAAGACGCAAGTTTATTAAGCTTAATGCTACGGTAATCAACCTTACTTGCTAAACCGTAAAAAACAAAAACAATATTAAGTAAAAAGATAAGATCGTTATTCTTAACAAAGGACTTTTAAAGAAGCTAAGACTAAAGGTCTTATTATATAGCTTGTTGATTTTAGCTTTCGATAATATTAAAAGCGAATACAACGAGCTTAAAGAACGTATAAAGTTTGCCGACGAGAATTAAACTTAGAATTTCGTCTTGCAAAAAAAACCCGAATCCGGAACTCTACTCGTAAATTATAGTTTACGAGTAATAGATGACTCAGCAATTAAAGCGAGACTAAGTCAACTTTTTGCTTTTAAAACCCTTTTGCTTAAATTACTTATTGCGCGCTTTTCATTATCACTAGCTTTATCTTAAAAATCGATATCATCTTTTGTTAATAAGCCTTCGAACGCTAAACTGATTGCTTCGATTATATTTACTTTACGCAAGTTTATCGATGTAAGCTCTTTTTTAACTTTTGCACTCGAAATGCAACGCGACCTTTTCGAGAACTAACTGCTATTAATATTACTTATTAAAAAAAAAGACAGCTTCGAATACAAACTAGCTAAAGTTATATCGAATCGCTACTTAAGACTCGTCGAGATTAAAGACTTCATAAGTATAAACATAGCCTTTATTAACTTTTGCTAAGACTTTTATTAATTAGCTTTCGATCGCTTAAACTTAAACGAAAACATCGATAATGCTTTTTAAATTGCCGCGGAATCAATTAAGAAAGCTATTAGCTAGATCCGCAAGCTTTTAAAAAACGAATTTTCTAATAACGCGATCTTACGACTTTTCGACCGTCGTAATTAAATAAAAGTAAATAAAGAAAAAAGCAAAGTAGTAAACTACTTCTTGCTATTCGAAATCTTTAATTTAAGCTTTAACAACGACGATTACGACTATATAAAAGTCTTTTAAAAAGTGAAAAACGTATTAGAATTTAAAGATAAATTCAAAGAACTTTTTAATTTAAACGTTTAAACGAAGCTCCGCTTTAGCCGCAAAATCTTATCGTCCGCTACCGACTTATTAAAAAAAGTCTTTTGCGAAATCTACACTTTCGAATACGTTAAATACTTTAAGCTAATTACGAAAGGCTTTACAATAATAATAATCCGTTCTAACTTATATCGATTTATCGAAGCTTTTCAAACTAACGCTTTTAACAACTTCATGCTTTACCCGAGCAACTAATCGATATTCGTTATTAAAATTAAAAGCAATACTTTAGCTAAAAGAATATTTAGCTTAAGCTCTTTTAAGTTTAAAACTAAGCCGATGTCTTTTAACAAGCTAAATTAAAGCATTAGCTTAATAAGCACCGCTTAAAAGAACAGCTCCTTTAACACTTTAAATGCGAATAGCTATACGAAAGTTTAGCTTATATTAAAAGCTTTTTTTTTAAACGGTAAGCACGGTAACTAAACCTTTCTTATTATTATAAACAAAAAGATCTAAATGTACTTCTACTACTTTTAGACTAATGACTTAAAAAGAGCCTCGACTAATGCACTTTTTAATATAATGCACTTTTTAATTTAGCAAGTCTTTCGAAGCTATTATAAACTATACTTAACCGCTTTACTTAATCGCCGAAACGAAAACTATAAGCTTATTGCTTACCCGGAACCTTTTTAACTTTTTAAATATAATAATAATGCGTGAGTGATTGCGATTAAATACAACGCTAATATTAAACGATCCGTAAACCGTAGTTCACGAGTAAAAAACAGAGTTTTAAACTATTACTTAATGCTTTACGGCGTAAAGAATTAGATCAGAAGCTTAAGTATTTAACTTAAAAGCTATATTTACGATATTACTTTTAAAAAGACCGTTAAATAAAAAGCTTTTAAACTTAAGTCGAAAACTTTAAATGCTTTTAAAAACATTGCGCTACGCTAACTTCTCGTTATAATTATAAATCTCGTTATCTTTATATCCGTTATTACGAAACAAAGTGTTTTTTTAAATATAAACGCTTTTTAAAATTCCTTTTGCGAATAAGCTATTTTCTTTAATAATTATACCGCTTTGCTAAACGATAGCATTTTAAAAAATAAAGTTAGCTTTGCAAAGTACGCTTATACTATCGTCTTAAAACGCATGCCGCTAACCTTTTAATAAAAAGTTATTAATAAATCAAGCTAGCTTTTCGCCGCTATAATCTAGCTAGACTACGTTAGTTTCGTATTAAAAGCTTTGATCGGAAGAATAAACTAAAACGAACCTCGAATAATAAAAGAATTAACCGCTATCTTTGCTATATCTCGGACTTAGTTTTAAAAACACTTTATCAAGCATAAAAAGAAGTTGTTTTCGGCATTCAAAAAAAGGTTTACTATTATGCTAAATACGAAAGCTAAGACTTACGGAGCCAAGTCTTTTTCTAAAAGCAAAAGCCGCCGAGCTAACGACCTTATAAACGCCGATAAATTAAAGGATTTTAAAAAGAGCTTGCGACCGATTGAGTTATCTTTTAACGACTCCGATTCAAGTGTAAAGATTAATTTAAAAAGTGCGAAATCCACTCGTAAATCACAGTTTACGAGCTAAATCGACGATCTTAAAGCATCATCTTTTTAGCTAGAATCTTTAAACCGCGCATTCGATAAAGCTATAAAAGCTTTAGCTGACTTGCTCGAAAACGAAGACGACTTAACTAATAGCTTTAGACTTTATTTTAACTTCGCTAACCTTTCGTCGGCCAAGTTCACGCTTATTAACGATATTACTAATAAGCGCAAGAACGACACGCGCTTTTTCACTTTTAAAGATACTATTGCTAGCACGATATCATTTAATACTAGCTTAACTAAGAGAAGAAGACTCTCTTAACTTGAAAAGAACGAAAGAGTTAAAAACGTAAGCACGAAAGGAGACTATTATGGAGGGGAAGAGCTCCGACATATACCCAACGTCAAATCAAGAGATATATATGAATATAGCCATGGTAGAATCGTAAGTGAATAAGAGGGGAAAAGGAGGACGATCGAAGGACACTCGAATGTGTGCTGTAAGTACGTGTGTTGTATTGTGTGTAATGTGATGATGGTTCAAGGAGGAACCAACTACTCGTCTATATAAGAGCTTGCACGTGACCTAACCATGTGACCTAACCACGTGACCTAACCACGTGCCTAGCAAGGCCAGGGCATGCAGCGCACCCACGTGACAAAGGTGCTTAGCATCAGTACTATATACATGGACAAAACAAATATAGAGCCTTAACTCTATTATATACGTCCTCCTTTCGAATCAGACTCGCTCTTGAGTCACCTCTTATCAAGGTAGTAAGGTTAGGTTTGCAAGACGAGCATGTGGCCGAATTACATGGTCGCAATACGGTCTTAAAGTACTACTCAATGATGCATCGCCGGATCGGTGTTAGTACGGGGCGTATGTGATATAATAAAGAAGATAAGAATAGCAACGAGAATGCAAGATAATCCTCCGGGTCCAACTCCTTTTTATATCCTTTATAGCTCTCTTATTTAATTATAAGAACAATATCAACTCGAGCGTTAGTATTGTTATTAAGACAAGCGTGCGCCGGTTTAGGCGGTCAAGTGGTGACGCACTGCCGAATCGGCAGTAGCGCGAGGCTTAAGGCGGTAACGTGACAAAGAAAACAAAGGCGGCAGTATATACTCGAGGTCTTGCTATAAACAGTCAACCTTCTTTTTATATCAACTTCACACCTTTCCACCTTTCTTTTAACACTTATCATCTACTAACCTCTTTCAATCATTATGTTCTCGATTTGCTTTCGGTGCGTAAGCTACGCAAGCAGAACTATCGATAATACTGCGAGTCGGTGCATCTTCTCTTTCGACACTTCTATTAAATGCAAGCGTTGCCGTGCTATCAAGTCAACTTGCATCTTCGTAAGTTATCTTACTTTTCGTCTCGCACTCGTCTTGACTTCGATTCGATAGCTTTTCGCAGAAGTCGTTAGTGCCGGCATAGTCTTGATAGATGCGATAACGGTTATAGATAATGGAACTAGGACGGCCGACGACGTTTTTCGTAAAAGCACAATTGCAAATAACCTTCTTATAAAGACCCGCCGTGCTCTTGCCTCTCGAGTTGATAATGCTTCTTCTTTTCTTCGGGCCCGTATCGCCGCTGCTTCCTTTGCCGCCGCTAATGCTAGAGGTCCCTTAGCTGGCTTGGATCCCGTCCCGGCGTTACGCCTACTTGTTACCGCTGCCACCGCCGATCTAGCTTCGCTAGACCTGCTGCGTTAGATCCTGGCTGCAATAAATCGAAACAATACTTTGCTAAGTAACTTCCTTGACCGCGTGAGTGTATGTTGCGAACCCTTCGTAATTCCTTTCCGATCTGACTACGATAGATTACCGAAAAGTCCTTGTTCCTTTCATCTTTATCTTTATCTTCGGAATCGCTAGCACCTCCTGCTCCTTTTGCGCCTCTTGCGAAGAAGCTCCGCCGAAGTGCCCGCTAGGCTTCTATTCGCGGCAATACTAGTAGTTCTTCTTCGCGAAGTTCTAGCCGTAGCAATACTCGTGGTTCTTCAAGAGGTTCGAGTCGTAGCAACATCGGTAAGACTTCGAAGGGTGAGAGCAGTGCCCAAGGTGCTGCGGGGGGCTCTCGCACCATTCCACCTAGCCCTGAGTTGTAAGGTCGGAAGGGTTTTTATCGCGTGTCGGCAGCTTGCTAAGTAGTTAATGCAATAGATTTTTTCGTATGCTCTTCTTAATCAGCCTCCGAATAAAGTCCGCTTTATATATATGACATGCTCGTATATAGTAGATCGAGAGCATATAAGTGTAATGACGTAAGGCTCTTCAATACAAAGAAGGAAATAAAAAGAGTGTAAAAAGAAGGAAAACAAAGAAAACCAAACTTAAACAAAGAAAAAATCAAAAATCAAATCCAAACTCGTCCTCTCCTTACGTATAGTCATGCCCTTATGACGTAATCACTCTTTGTTGCCTCTTTATCACTGCTCACAGAGACTCTTGCGTATTAGCTCTGTTGCTCTTCCGTAAGGCCAAATAATCGAATAACAAATCCATTTGAGCGCCTGATCTAAGAGCCGGACTCGGCCACTTTATCTAGTGAGAGCTGTTCTGAGGATCTCTTTATATAAGGCTTAAGGTAAAGTAGTGACGCTTCGAGGGTATATCGCACGTAGAACTTCTTTAATCGACTGCCGGCAAATGTTCCATCTAGCAAGGCCTCGTCTTCTCTTAGCTCTTTCAACTTATAGTATCCTTTTGTATTTACCGACGAAATTTGGTAAAGGCTAAGCTATCGAAAATCCAGCTTCTTGACGTTAGACATATCCACTTTACGTACCGAGTCGTGCTTAAGGACCAAGTCACTTACCTTTAAGGGTCTGATTCGGAGGTTCTTCTTATTATTAAAAGCATCTTTTCCTTTTTGACGGTAGCGGGTTTTCTTGAGTATAGCCTCCGTAGCATCTTCGTTTCGCATCCGGAACTAGCGTGCCTTCAACTCGATAAGCTTAGTACGATTGGTTACTAGCTTTTGAAATAACGTAGCTTAAGACTAGATTCGAGTCTTAATCGGAAGCATTGCTTTTCTGCCGTATACTATGTAAAAAGAGGTGAATCCGATAAAAGTATGCACCGAAGTGCGGTCGGCGAATAAGACGGCTAGCAATTGCGCAATCTAGTCGGTGCTTTCAAGCTTACTTAATGCGTCTTTAATTAGTCCGTGGCCGCGTTCTATTATTCTATTCGCTTGAAGGTAGTATACTAAGACTACGACTCGATTGATTCTTTAATTGTTAAGTAAGTCGATTACTTCTTTTTTAAACTCCGAACTTCCGTCGACTATTAGCTGAAAGAAAATCTTATAGCGGCAGATGATGTCTTCTTAGATAAACTTAGCTACCGAAAGTAAGTCTCGGGTCCGAATCGCTTTCGCTTCGACTTATCTATTTATATCATCTTTAGCAATAATTAAGTAGCTCTTGCTATTGCGTGCAAGTAGATGAGTGATATCGATAGCCTAACGTTTTATTAAGCTATTGGATCGGGTAAGATGCAGTAGCTTTTCGAGCTTATTAGCTGCTCGGTGCTAGCATTCTTTACAAATCTTGACGAATCGTTTGACGTCCGTGTAGCATCCATTTTAAAAGTAGCGCTAAGAAACACGGTAGTAAGTTGATTCACGACCTTTATGACCACTTTTATCGTGACAGGCCGTGATAATGTCCGTTTTAATCGAAGGTTTATTAACTATTAATCGAAAAGAAAGACCTTTCGTCGAGAGTTTTTAAAGCTTCTTATCGTTCACTCCGTACTTAATAGCTTCCCTTTTGAATTTACGGCATTCCGCTTTGTTCAAGTCCTTAAGTCTTTGCAAAGTCGTCAAGAAGGTAGCTATCCGAATTGATTCCGAAGAGTATTCGATTAAGTTCAAAAGACTTTCGTAATCGTAGTCGTCGTCAAACTCGTCTAGGTTTGCATTCTCCGCTTCCTTCGAACGTTAGAACATGTCTTTAAGAATAGATTAGCGAATATCTATTAAAAGGTCCGTCGAAAGTTCTTTAGAGCCGTCTCGAGCCTTAATAGGTCTTAGGTCGGCTAGCAAGCTGTTATCGAACTTATTCTTATCCTTTTCGCTTGAATCATCGGAGTGCCGTGGCCGTCTCGATAGTGCATCGGCGGCGGTATGATCTTTACCGAGGACATATCGGACCTTAAAATCGAAAAGATTGATCTAAGCTAACTAGCGTATAACTAAGGCCGAAGGTATATCGGTGGCTCTTCGACGAAGCTAAGCAACGAGTACTTTAGCGTTAGTCTCGAAGATAAAGTGCACTCCGATAATCTATAGTTTAAGCTTCTTAAAGACTTTAAGTACTCCGCGACATTCCCGTTTGATAGCGTCGTAGTTCCGTTTTGCCTCCGTTTAAGCCCCGGACTCGTACCGAGCCGGCTGCACTTTGCTAAAAGTAGTTTCGCGTTGGCCGATATATCTTCCTTATCTTTCTAAGCTAGCGTCCGTTCCTATTACTATTTCCTTGTTTTAGTCTTCGTAGTCGATCTTGATCAAAACCGGAGCCGTCGTCAAAGCATCTTATAGCATTCGCATAGCCTTCGAATGCGCTTCGGTCCATTGCTAATCTATATCCTTTTTTATAAAGTTGTAAAAAGGGTCAGCAATGTGTGCGAATCTTTTGACCTAGATGCGGAAGTAAAAGCAAAAGCTTAGAAATCCTTTAACCTTAGTAACGTTTTCGAAGGTTTTCTAGTTATTGATCTTAATAACTTTATCCGCAGCGGGTTCTCGACCTTTCGAATTGCATACGAATCTTATCACATTCATCTTATCTCGATAGAACTATGACTTTTCTCTGATTATAGCACTAGCGCGCTCAATTCGTTTTAAGGTCTTATCGATGTTTTAAATGTGTTCGAGCACGAATCGGCGTATACTCGAAAGTGCTTTTTCGTCGGAATAGTCCGTTTATAGTCTTTTTATCCCGATATCGTCGACAAATAGCATAGAGACCTTGGGTTGCAAAGGCCTTAAGATAAGATTGACTGTTCGGACGAATTGAGCCACCGAGTTTATAGCACTTTGCGAAAAGGTAATATATCGGAAGAGACTTAGCGGTATAAAGAAGGCGGTAAGGTCCTTACTCGACTGATAGAGTATTTGTTAATTATACCTCGAATAAAGGTCGATTAAGCTAGCTATCTAGCAACTAGAAAACTCTTCAGCAAACTTATCCATAGTTAAGGGTAGATTAGCGTCCCTCCTTGTAACTGCATTAAGTAGAGTTGCTAAGTTGATGAGTCGGTACTAGCCCGGCTGCTTTTTAGCTATTAAGAACCATTGATTCCGGTACGGTCCTTCGCAGTACTTTAAGACTCTTCTATCAAGCCTGTCTTAAAGCATTTTAATAATAATAAGCTGTAAGGCCTTCGGACACGAGTAATTAAGAGCTTGCTAAGCCGTATGTAAAATGGTTTTAAGCTTAATCGGTAGTGATACGTCGTCGTAAAACCTACCGTACTCTTGCCAAGCGAATGCGATTGATTTTTCTTTGCTTAGCATTATCTTTTTAAACAAATCCTTTTCTTTAAGCCGTAGTGTATTACCGACATCCAAGTTCGCTATGCGTTCGAGTGTGATTCGAAAGCCTTTCGGTATGTCGGCAATGCGCGGGAAGAGGTATTGCTTGTATTCCCTTACCTGCTCTTGTAGCGTATCCTTAGCTTTCGATAGCTCGTACCAATCAACCTTGCCACTTAATGCTGCTCTTATGCCGTCTGCTTCGTCAACTGGCCTGATCTTTTTATCTTTGGTTTTGTACATGCCGAATACCTTAGCCGAGTCCGAAGAGATTTCTTTTCGAGTCCGATAAAGTGTCGAATTCTAATGATCGATATAATCGTAGCAACGGGTCATAAAGGTGTCGGTGCTGACGGCATCTATTTGGCAAGTTGTTAAAGGATCGCATTCCGTAAAAGCAAGAACATCGATAAACTGCTTTTAAGTAGTAGAGTCGTCTCTCTTTCGATGCTGCAACGTTTCGCTTTCGAAACTGAGCGAAAAGCAAGAAGCTTTTAGTGTACCGACTTTAGCGCTTCTAACGAGGCTAGTCACTAGTTTTCCGAGTCGCTTCCGTTGCTACTCGAAGATTTATCGTGGTAGATAAGGCTTATACTCTGCTCTTTTAAGCGATCGACGGCTTCGTCGTATTGATTCGTTTTATCGCTTACTTTAACTTAAGTAACTTGGCTCGTAAAAAGATCAGTAATCATTGTAATAACAAAGCCACCTTTATAGTTTAAAGAATATCGAAGACCGATTCTTGCTTTGCGTATGAAAAGGTAACCGAATATAAGTCGAAACCTTAGCGAATCTATAACGTAGAATTAAGTACGGATCGTAGCACCTCCGATGTTGATAAACACATTATCGGCGTATCTGATAAAGCGCGATAATGAACCGGTGATTATTCGGAAGCTTATCTCTTAGTCGTAAGTTATAAGGACTTCGAATTTAACCGCGGCGTCGTAAATGATAACGCTGATCTCCGCATTTGTATCGAGTATAGCTCGCGCATCAGTGATTAAGGACTATCCGAGTATACTAACAATAACCTTAAGAGTTAGCGAATGATAATAAGAGTATCTAAAGAATAGTTAGCTAAACGTCGAAGTCAAACCGATTTCCGCCGAAAAAGGCTCCGTATCGCTTTCGATTGCGGTCCGCAAGGTACGCCGATCCTTACGAATAAACCAGTCGAAAAGGAGATGTTAGAACTAAAAAACACCGTAGAATATAGCTGTGAAGAAAGTCGGAATAAAGCCGATAATAAGAATAGAGCAGAACCGTCTTTAAATCAAAAGAAATTCGAGCGCGAAAAGCGTATTGCGTCGGCGGTGCTTAGTCTGGCTGCTACGGATGTTCTTTTGCAATTAAGGCTTAGTCATCTAAGAGAATTCGAATAAGCGTCTAAGCCAAGACCGCTAAGCAATAGCATCTTTGTATAAGATCCGTCTTAGCCGAGCAAAGACTTGTATAAAGTCTGCTTTACCGGTGATTCGGCCGTGAGTCGAAGTAGCAAAGGAAAAAAGAAAAGGTAAATTCTTGCGATAAAGCGCTTCACCGATAAAGCGACTCGTAACTTTGCAAAATAGATTACTACCCGATAAAAAGACATTACCTTCTTTTTAAATAAGTCGCTAAAGCCTCGAAGCAAGTCCGTCTTTTACTAGATCATCCGTCGCCTTCGGTATAGGCTTGCTATTTATGATCAAGCAATCTTTCGAAGCTTTCGCAACGCTAACCGTAGCTTAAAGGCAGTTAATAGCGCTTTCGCTGATAAAGGTTTGCTGAATCATCTTATCGATCATACCTTCGGAAAAAGATCGTTTAGAAGTAGAAAGAGCAGCGAAGAACGCAATAGTTTTATCAAGAGTTAGGTTCTTTAGCAAATCGCGCCTTTTTAAAAGCTCAATACGAGTCGCTTCGTAGTCTATCTTTAAAGAAGAGATCACTTTGCTAAGCTTTTCGTATGATTTAGCAGTCTTAGAAGGCTTGGCCTTAAGCTTAGGTGCAGCCTTAAAAGCTTTTAGCAGTGTAACGGGCAGATTCCGTAAGTCCTTCGATCGTGAAGCGTTTCGATTAAGAATCGCGGTGTAAGCGGGCTCGGGTTTATCCATTTCTATTAGTTTAGCGAAAGTAACTTTAAGCTAGCTATAAGTAGATTAGACTTTTGCTTTTGCCGAAAGAGCGTCTCTTGGCGGGTATAGCGTAACTCGAAAGGCCGCGTTGCGCGCTCGAATCTTTACCGGTGCAATAATAGCTTCCGTATTAAACACGCGGGCATATGAATCCGTCGATATGATGCATCGTTAGCGAATCATGTCCGAAGTATTGAAGTCGTTAATACGAAAAGCTTCCGCACTGCCGCCGTTAGCTGCTCGAATAAGTGCTTTAGCGCGTTCTCGTGCAGCTTCTTTAATAGATTCTCGTTATGCTTTTAAAGCTTTATAACGACGCTTAAGATTAAGATCATTTATTATCTTACGAACCTTTTCTAGAACTTGCTCGTATTTAAAAGTGTCGTTTCGGAACTGAAACGGGATCGAAAGTATTTCTCTTTGGTATAGTCTTATACACATTAAGTCCGCTTCGTTAAAGTGAAAGGCTAGTCCGTACTAAAGCATAAACAAGTAGCACTGATTTTAGTATTTGTAAGGCTTTTGCTAATAGCTAAGTAGATTAAAAGTCTGCTAGTACTAACAGAAAATGCAATTGGAATCGTTTGAAGACCGTTTCTTCTTCGATGTAGCGTAGCTTCGGTTCGAATAAGTGTCGGCCGTATTGATCTCGTAGACCCGGTGCAGTGCGATCTCTTGAGTCTCTCTATATTGAGCAGCTTTTAATAGGTTCACATAAGCCTCTTTCGGTACGGGGGCGAAGCTGTCGGTAAGTCTTAAGTGAATACTAACCTTCGCTAGCTGCTCCGTAAGAGCCTCGATCTTTGGGTCAAGGTCGATGAACGGGATAATCGAACTCGTAGCGGTGGTGCTTGCGCGGTGAAAAGGAAGGGCATAAGTACTACCGGAGTAAGTGTTATAAAGGAGCGAAACGTATAGGTTTCGCTTGCTCTCGGGAATGACAAACGGTATTTAAGGACGAGAGTTTTCGTTCTAATAAGGGTTATAGCGAGAAAAAGCTTTAAGGATCTCGGCGTAGTCGTATTCTTTAATCCGTTTCGCAGTGATCTGTTCTTGCTTGATTAAGTCGCTAACTATAATATATACTATGTTATACGTTTGCAAGTGATCTTCCTTAAGTTTAACGTTCTTTTAGGTCCGATTCTGTATCGATAGTAGTAAGCAATCGAAGAACTTCTACTTTAGCTGCTTGTCGGTAATATCTTTATTAGCGAAGCAAGCAAGGCTCGTAAAGTTGAACTAGCGGGTGAACTGTAGAAGCTCTGCCTTGGAAGCTCCTTCTCTTGCTATCTATTTATTGCTCAAGTCGTTTAAGAAGCTAATACTATCCTTCTACTTAGCTAGGTCGAAAGCTTTATACTCTTCCTTGACTACCGATTTGAAGTCGTCCCAGGTCACTTTCGGATCCGAAAAGCCGCCGAAGCTCTCGATATTGCAACGGATGTTGTAACCGAAAGGGCTAAAGATATTATACTTAGCAAAGCACTGCTTCTTCTCCGAATCGGTAACGATACCGTAGTCTTTAAACGCTCGTTCGAGCTAGCGAATATAGTCCGTGATGTTGGCTTTGTTAAAAGCAAGCATTCCAAGGGCTTTAAGTCTAAGGAAAGGTTTACGGATACTCACGTAATTCAAGGCATTTACAAAGGGTAAGAAGACCTGAATCTTCTTCACTTCGTCCTCGGTTAACTTGCGAGTAGCATCCCCGCTAAGTCCGAAATCCTTTTAAGTCGAAGAAGTCATAGCTCTTTTTGATTTCTTAAAGCTTTAACGTAAGCCCGCTAAGTTGAGTTGATAGATGTCGATTAAGGTGTGAAAGTGTCTCGAAACGGATGCGAAAAAGGAACGAGAATGATATGAATGTGAATGTAAATAAATAACAAAAATAAAATGAGTACAATTTGCAATAAATATTAAATACACAAAGAAATGTTGTAAAAATATAAGATCCCGATGCGTCGAAAGTGATTCAATAGAGAATCGAGTGCCGATCGCTCCGAATTAAATAGTCGAAACCAAACCGATACGATAAATGATATTAATGATACGTCTAACTCTTAAACGTAAGATCTGAATAAGCGAGGGAGTAATTGCCGAGATTAAGTGTATCGTGTATCGAAATAGAAACGAAGTCGGGTAATAGCCGAGCTTCCGTGCAAGCATATAGCTTGCTTCTAGTATAATGCGACACCGAAACGGTTCCGAATTGCAAACACTTATTTCCGCTCGTCGTATCTTTCATTTGCCGAAGCGAAAGATGATCGAAAGCAATTCGAAGTCTTTATGCGTAATCTCCGTTGCGAAGTAAGTGTTGAATTTTCAACCTCTTAGGTTTGGCGTAGTATTTCCGGTACTTAGCTACTACTTACTCTTTTAAAGAAGAAAGAGCAGTAGACTCGTATTAAAATCGATGTTAAATCGAAAAGGTGAAGTATATTAAACGAATAGTACTTCGAGCGTATCGCCGTACAAAATAATCTAAGTGAATAGTACTTTATAGATACCGAATTGAACTTTAGCCAACTCGATCCCCGAACTAAAGTAACGACTTCTTGAATAGTACTTATCGAGTATACCGAGTAGCATGCTCGACGGACATAAATCGAAAGAAGGTCGCTTTTAAAGCAATAGCCTCGAAGCTCATATGCAAAAGCACTTGACTTTTAACTTAGCGTATATCGAATACTCTTCGAAGGAGTACCGCAAAAGCACATGGTCAATAGCTTAGCGTATGACGTGAACTCCGAATATATAGCTTCTCGCAAAGGAAGCAAGTCTAAAGAAGGTATGAAAACCAACCTTTGGTTCGATTCTTTGCGTAAGTCATCAAATATATATAGAAAGGAAGAGCTCCGACATATACTCAACGTCAAATCAAGAGATATATATGAATATAGCTATAGTAGAATCGTAAGTGAATAAGAGGGGAAAAGGAGGACGATCGAAGGACACTCGAATGTGTGCTGTAAGTACGTGTATTGTATTGTGTGTGATATGATGATAGTTCAGGGAGGAACCAACTACTCGTCTATATAAGAGCTTGCACGTGACCTAACCATATGACCTAACCACGTGACCTAACCACGTGCCTAGCAGGGCCAGGGCATACAGCGCACCCACGTGACAAAGGTGCTTGGCATCAGTACTATATACATGGACAAAACAAATACAGAGCCCCAACTCCACCACACTATAAAGAAGCTGCCGAAGCGTAGTTTAATAGTTTAAATATTTAAAGTTTAAAGACAAGATACCTTTCCTTTTTTGTATATTAGATTTTTTCTTTCTTTTACACCTTTCTTTTTTTTCTTTTACTTAATAATAAGCGGAAGCGCTTACTTATTTTATAAAAGGACGGATGTAAACACTTTGCTTAATAAGGTACTTGCTATAGCTATTAAGGCTATACTAAACGGACCTATCTTTTATAAGAGGGCATACATCTCTTAGCTAAAACAATCAACGAGCTTTCCACTCATCTTTTCTAACACTTCTTTTGTAAGACTATAAGGTCTAGCCTTAAACCCAGGCTTCTGTACGGCACATCTTTTAAGTGCTTTTACACCACTTTTACTTAAATTATAACTTAGCTAAGAATCTTTAATTTCTTCGTAATTGTGTGCATTGACTTTTACTTATTATACAAGTGCATAATAAAGCTAAGAACTATTAAAAAGAAGCGCTTTATGATCGATATTATAGCTATTCGAGAGTCATACGAAAGGCGAGAGCTCTTTAAAGTACGCTAGATCGGAAGCAAATCCAACCTTACTAACGCTATGATCAAAATCGGCGCTAATACTTCTTTGCAAGAACTAGTTTTGACTAATACCTTAAAAGTGCAAGTGGATAGATAAGTAGAAAAGCCGCTATAAGAAAAGGAAGGATAAGATTGTTTTTCTTTTGTTTATTACCTTTTTTCTTTTTCGGTCGATATAGTAGTTAGCAAGGCACTGCTTGTCAAAGAGAGAGTTGCCGGTGTCGATATATTCATATCGACCTTAGCTAGTAGTAATAGTAGTAGTAATAGTAGTTGGGGAGCTTACCCGTGAACTAAGGTTCACGAGCCACTTAGCATGCTTCGCTTAGCATGTCAGCAGTCAAAGGACCCTCAACTTAACAAGTAAACCTATTAGCTAGCTAGTGCACGTGATTCCTTCTAATCATATAAAAGGAATCAACTCCTTTAAGCCTTAAGGAGCAGACAGAATTCAAATACCTTATCAACCGAGTATTTTGCAATTGCAAGTACTTTGACGAACGTTACGACCTTACGAATATATATTCCCAATCGCTTGGAAGAAATCCAACACGTTATTTAAAAATCGCTTAACTCGATATTCGTCTATTTTAACTAACTAGCTACGATTACGCTTTTCTTCGTCTAGCATTTCTATTGCACACCGAGCGTTTCGACCGTTCGTTCGTTTAATAGAAAAAGAATAATAAGTTTTATTATCTACTTCGATAAAGATCGAGTTTAGTTGGTTTGCAATTTTTAATAAATTAATAATTTAATTAATATATAAATAATAAAACGGCACTTATAAATAAATCGGCAAACGTCCGTTAAAACATAAATTTCTTTTATCTATTCTTTAGCTATAATAAATATTCGAGCTTATAGATATAATTATAAGCTAATACGATTATAAAGTGTTTTATCGTTTTATATAATAAATTTTTAATTAAATGCTTTTATTTTTAATATTTATTAGATTATATTAATTTTATTTACCGTATAACAGCAGCCGAAAAGAAAGCTGCAAAGATTATATTTAAATTAAGATTTCTATAAGCACTTTATCTTTGTATACTAATTAAACCTTAATAAATTTATGTAAGTACTTGTTATAACGACTTTAAGCGATTATTTAAAGAATTTATAAAAAAGCGAAAAGATTATATAAAGCTTAAGAAGATTATAAAATCATTATTTGAATTTGAAATTAATAATTATCGAAAGTAAAAGTTAAAAA